AGCAATGGGTTGGAATAAAACATTTGCAAATAATATATTTAACAAAGGGCTCGCACCCAAGAATACACAAAGAATTACTCCAAACAGTACAAAAATAGACAATTCAATTTTTAAAAAAATAGACTTCATCAATGAAAGTACACAAATGGCTAATTAGGGGCTGGGGATTTAGCTCAGCGGCATAAGCACCTGCCTTGCAAGCAGGCAGTCGTGAGTTCGATCCCTGGTACCGATAAAAATGAAAAAGACCAAAAAAAAAGGCTAATTAAACAAGACTATGTTCAATATCACCAACCATCATGAAACTTCACACTAGAACTAAGTTGGGATAGCAGGACTTACTTTTCAGAATGGCTGATTCTTTGCATATTTTTCTATTACTACATATTTACCACATATGATGCTTACATTCACTGCAGGGCATCGATGCCTGTACACAACACGTCTTAATTCTTTGTAGAAGTCTATCCTTTTCCTTTCTCCTCATCTTTTCATCTCTTGATCCCCTTTGCTTTTGCAAAAGATCTGCTGTAGCTCTATTTCCTAGTATCTATATTTTATTTTGCTCTATTAATTTATTTATACTTTAGGTCTATCACATAAGAATGACTAAAATAAAAATACTAGCAATACCAAGTGCTGGTTATGACCCAGGGCACCTGCCACTCTCAGACATTGGCAGCAGGGTACAGACTGGCACAGTCCCTCTGAAAAGCAGCTGGACAGACTCTTATCAAGTTAAACATCCACTTACAATAAAAGCCCACTCCTGGGTGTTCACCCTAGAAAAATGAAAGTGTGTGTTTACCAACGGCCTGTGTACAAATGTTATAGCAGCTTTATTGACCGTCATGAAAAATAGGAAATAACCAACATGTTTCACTTCAGGTAGCTAAAACTGTGTTACCACCACACAGTGGAATGGAATGATTTAAAAAATGATTGAAGAACAATAAAAACAAGCAAACTATTGAGGCACACAGCTGGGTGAATTTCAAAGGCATCATGTAGAGTGAAAAAAATTAAATACAAAAGATGACATAATTGTAAAACCTCACATGAAACTCTCAAAAAAAAAAAAAGCCCCACAACTATGGAATGAGAAAAGAGATCTGTATCTTCAAGGGGTTACAGTTAGGGCTAAGATAGGGAAGTCTAGGGGTGTTATTTTAAAAGGAGTAACACAAGTTGATTGTTTCAGGTCATGGGAGTATTCTGTATCCTAGCAGAGGAATGATTGCAAAACTTTATGTATGTGTTAAAATTTGCAGAATTATACTGTGTCTCTAGATTTGCTTTTGGAAAGGCGACACAGGACTAGGACATCCCTGGACATCTACTGAAGACCGGGCGTGTTCTCCCAGCAAACCGACTCCAGAATCCGGACCACGGGCCTAGGGATTGGGAGCTTCCGGGCCAGGTAAATGGTGGCTGTGCAGCTTCTGGCACAGTCAGGAAATCAGACCAAACTTCAAAACTGCAAAGCTGGGAAAGAGGGGATCATAAAGGTCTAACGATGACTCACGTCTAGGCTTGGATCAGCTCGTGATGTGTTTCGCTTGGGGCAATGGAGGGAACAGGGAAAAGAAATTTCAGCGTGCAACAGTAAAGTTTCAGGGAGTGGATCCCAGGAGACATCCAGAGCCGAGATTCTCAGAATAGAAAGACTCCCAGGAAGAAGGGGAGAGTTAGAAGTCTGGAGCAAACACTTCACAAGCACAAGGATCTTCAAATAGTAAACCCCTGAAAGAGCACCCAGCTTTATTAGTCATCTGGAAAAATGCAAATTAAAACCACAATCTGACACGCCGCACACTTCCAGATCTCTACAATGAAAACAGACGAAATTCAAATATTGGGAAGCGGAGGCCTCGTGGGAGCCTGTGGGACCCGGCTGCTGTTGCTAAGGTGTGCAGCCCTGACTCAGCAGCGCACTCCGGCGGGGCGGTGTCCTCTTCCCCTGCTCCGAGGAGGATTTTCAGGGCGGCGCCACCCCACCAGAGCCCCGTGTTAGTACGTGTTGCTATTGTAACACACCAACACCAACATCAACCCTTAAAACAACACGAATAAATAGATGTTCCTATGGTTACTGGATCCGAAGCTGGTACAGCGATGGGGCCTTGATTGAATGTTGGCAGAGCCAGGCTCCCTCTGGAGAATCGAGGGGTGAAGGTGTTTCCCTGTCTCCTCCTGATCCGGGAGGCTGACTGACCTGCAGCCCCTTTGCCCACCTTCAGGACTGACCACTGTCTGCTCAGTCACGCCGATCCCCGTGTCCCTCTGCCTGGACCCTTTGATTACATTTGCTGTCCGGCTACTCCAAGGCAGTCCCCCGTCTCAACATCCTGACCCCATCTGCAGTCTCTTTGTCCACGCACGGTCACGTGCACACAGGGATTGGGATGGGGACATCTTCGGGGAGCCACTGGTCTGTTATAAACCCCAAATGAGAAACTACTCAACGTCTCGCCCAAGATGGAATGAACAGCTTGTCTGCACTCACATGCTGGACTACCGTGCAACACCAAGAGCAAGCACTTTCCAGCTACACGCAATAGCACAGCACGAATGCATTTCACAAGCATCGTACCGAGCAAAGATAGCCAGAAACAGAAACGATATGAGTTTGCGTGCATAAAGCACAGAAAGAAGTAAAACTAAAGAGTTAGCAGTCAGAATGGTGCTTGCCCGCCACGCGGAGCTTCACCCCTGCGCGGGAGCATAAGGAAGCTTCCTGCTGACTGTGCCTTTTCCTTGTATTTTACTTCAGTGAAAAGGAGACAAAGGGGCCCAGTGAGCACGAGGGTCCCCCAGAATGTTACAGTTTGGTGCCCTGAGAAAAGTGAGGGGTTTGCAACCAGCAAGGCAGCACCTGGAATTGCAGCTCTTCATTCTGCGGCCTTCTGCCCATTCGTCTTATTTAGGCCTCAGTGTCCTCCTCCATAAAATGGGAGCATTGACAGCCCGGCCTCCAAATCTCTGCGCTGCTGTGAGATGCATAACACACGTGAGTGCAGGCGGAACACAGCGAGGGGTGAATAAATCCTGCCACTTCTCTGTTTTGCTCTTAAATCTGGGTTGCAACAAAGCGAAGGCATACGGTGGGGCTGAGCCCAGCGTGTCAACATCTCAACTTCATTTTCATTCTCAGCGTCAAGGGTGCAAATAGCGGCCCAGGGCCGTCAGTTTCTCCACGCCCTGTGAACCTGGGAGACATTCTTTGTTTCTTCATAAATGCTGCCTGTTTCCTGATCAAACCCCAGTGCTGTGGTTGGGGGAATCGTCTATGCAAAGGTGGGGACCTGAGGGCCAGGAGGGCCGAGGTCTGCAGGGAGAACCCGCAGCAGGGCAGGCAGAGCCATTTGGGGTCTGCACCCTGAAGGGCGGGCCCAGCCGCAGCACCCTGCCGTCCTGGCCTGCCCCTGGGACAGCACCTTTCAGAGACCAAGTCACACTGACCACCTAGAGCTTAAAGGAGAAAGATGGGGAAACTCATATGCTTCATGTCCTGTGCTTCATCAGGACAAGGGCTGGGTGTTAGCTCCTCCTTTCTGTGTGCCTCAGCTCAAAGGAGCTCCATCTATGTTTGTTGAGTGAATAAAGGATGGAAGATGAACCCCATGGAGAGAACCTGGGGTTCTCTTGGACACAAGCACGTGGCCTCTGAGCCCCAGGCTGCAATCGGCAGCCTTTTGGGGCTCTTGGGATTATTCTGCCTGTGTCCAGGTCACTGAGACCTCTGTGCAGCCTGCTTCGCAGTCCCGTCCAGGAGGTTTCTCAGTTATGGTTTATGTTCCCCATTCCCAGCCAGCACCTTTACCCCGGATGTCTAATCCTTTAAAGGTTTGTGTTTTCTTGCCCCTGGCCTTATTTCAATGCCATTTCATTTTTATACAGCCTAAGGCTACTTTCCCATCTTCCTCCTGTACCCTCCGGGCTTCTTCTTGGGTCCCGCAGGTTCCCCTGGGGCTCACCCCAGGCATCTTCCCCAGCAGCTACCCTGTTCCCTGTGTCACTGCATGATACCTCCAGGGAACCCCTCACGCTGGTCCCAGATAGGCCATTGTACCCTTACCCTTTCCTTGACCCTGTGCTTCATCTGGACAAGGACCGGTGTTAGCTCCTCCTTTCTGTGTGCCTCAGCTCAAAGGAGCTCCATCTATGTTTGTTGAGTGAATGAAGGATGGAGGATAAATGGTGACCACCAGTCTTAGGCCGCAGTTGGCCCTCTCTTGCTTTTATTGAACGGCTAACCTGACAATCCCTTGTTATAACTATCATCAAATTCCATTTTTAACACAAGGATGCCTCCTTCGCTAACTAACCACCTCTGATAGCCATCATGACTCTCTCATCACTCATGACTCTCTCTCTCCTCAGATGAAACACCTCCCTTCTTCTGCTGTCTATACAATACATCGAAACCTCTCTCATCTACCCAAACAGCGATTTTAAAGTAGGTGTTGGAGAGAAATTCTGTGAGACCTCCAGGCACCTGGCAAAGTAATTATTACCTATCTTTACTTTCTAATAGAAATTGCCTTCTCCGGAGTCTAAGTGACTCTGCCTTTCTGCAGGTGCAGAGGTTTTAATAGGAAAGAGCTCAGGAGTCAGGCCGGACATCAACCCTTAGGCATGGAGGTATTTTCTACTTGGTTCTGGCTCTAGTTTCTTTTCCTGGTCACCAGTTTGAATGCAGATACGAATTTCCAGAACATGGGCCGGGCTCGTTCACTATCTACAAAGGCCACTGCAGTCCAGGAGATGCTGAGCCTTGACCTCAGATGGGAGCTCAAACTTGAAACTAAAGCAGAGGAGACGTGTGTCTCCGTGTAGAGCTGCTGTGAGCTGCCAGGACAGGGTAAATCCATCCCCAGAAAGGCAGCAGCGAGCAGCGATCGCTGTGTTCCAGCGAGCACCGAGAAGCGATAAGGCTGGTGTGCACCGCGCTGGCCTGAGCCCAGCAGCCCAGGTCAGCTCCTGCTGCCTCTCGGGAAGGCAGGAACCTTCCAGGCTCGCTCTCCAAAAAGCCTGGAGGAACAGACACAGGCTGCTTTTTTCAGAAGTTTAGCAATCACAGGAAGAGTAGGAGAGAGATAGGGGCCTTGCGTAAAAGAAAGCCCAGCCAAGGAAAATGTATTTTTAGAGGAGAAGGAGACTTCTGAGCCTGATTGCAGCCTTGACAGGAGAGGACTAAGGGAGAAGGACAGAGGAAAGCTACGAGGGGAGGTGGCAGGTGGTGGGACGTCCCCGGGCCCCACCACAGGGCTGTCATGTGTCCCATCCTGAAGACAGACCCGACTTTTAAAGGCCATGAGATTCCGAAACAAGGTAAAAGAATGGGCACAACTCGGGCGCAGATAAAAATAAATTTTGAATCAGAGCGGAGGGAGGTTGGGAGTTCACCGTATATGGCCTCACGGATCGCACTGAACGGGAGGTAATTTCATCTGCTGAGAGGGAGGGCTGCGGGGGGCCGGCTGAATGTGAACAAAGGCCTTAGGGTACCTGCTCGGGGACCAGGGAGGGAGGCAGGGAAGACAACTCGGGGGCCTGCAGAATTCACACCGCACTGCAATCCGGGGCCCTTCCGACCTGTGCCTTCCTAAGCAGCGCCCTGAGAAAAGGGGTTTGGGACCTGACACTTCATTCTCCTCCGTAATTACTGCTTGATATGAGGGAGTTTATTAAAGCTCTCTTGCTTCATTTCCCCTATAAAACAAGTTAATAATCCTTGCCCCCTTCCTCTCCCATAGGACTTTAACAAGCATTAATTAATATCTTCAAAGTGTCCCGAGTGCCTTGGGAAAGCCCTGCATAAGGGCTTTTTTCATCCACTTATTATTCTTGCCGTGGCATTCCCCACCCTCTGCTGAGGGGTCGAAGCGCATTCTTAGCGGCTTCCTTCCCTTCATTACAGACTGTGTCTGCTGAGCCGACCTGCAGGCAGCCACCGGCTGGAGAAGGGGGCATCTGAAACGTCAGACCGTCACTATCCCGAAAGACAAAGACGAGAAGTTCAGCCACAGATAAAATCCGAGATCCTTTCCGGACGGGTTGGTTATCTAATGTGATACACGCAAGCAAAAGGTTTCTAACCAGCTCTTTCCCCCAAATTTCGAACTCCTGCTAGAAGAAACAAAGCAAAGCAAAACACACAGCTCCCAGGGAAAGCTACAATGATAGTAAGTGAAATGCAGTACAGTGATAATACTATGTTGCTGAATGTGGCAAAGTCTCGGCTTAAGGTTTCCGTGACTCGATGGCATTTTTGCTCCATTGTTTGAGCATCGCCCCAAGCCCTCCACCCCTCCATTTTATTTTTCAGCACATCTCTGGATCATCCACACGTGCAGACATCGTGCTGGGTGCAAGACCACGTGCTCAGCATCCTTCTGGCCACGCACCCTCCCGCTTTCCTTCTCTCTGAGTCATTTACAGTCCCTACATTTTCATTTCTTTTTGAGTGGCTGAATACAGCTGAAATTCCCACCGTTGCTCTGTTTGTCATGATGATGCTGTGTCTGGGTTAGGACCTGGAGAGTACTGAGCAGCATCTTTGGTACCCAAAGTGGGCCGACCTTGATCTACATGGCTTCTTTCAAATGCTAATTAGTGAGTATCCCAGGCCCTGAGAATCCCACTTTAGGTGCAAAAGTTAGTTTTGCAGTTTTATTTCAGATAAGAACAGCTGCTTGCTACAGGATGCGGTTGCTGGTATGATGTGGTGCTTTCTCTCCATAAATTTTTGCCAAGGTTGGGTACTTTCAGTTACAGATACCATTTGGCACAGTTGGTTCTCATGATGCAGACCTGAATTTTAAAGTCAGTAGACTTCCTTCAAGTTCTGTAAGCCACACTTCTATCCCGTTCTTCTACATTAACCCAGAGCCCCAAAATACAGCAAAACTACAGTTTGTTGGAGGGGGAAAGAGAAGTGGGAAGCAACAAATGAAGTCTGAGTGTAAGGAGCAGCAGGAATTTCTCCAAGCTAAAGTCAGAGCTGTCCGTGCAGAATTTCCAGTCCACAAATGCAACATGGCTGTGACTGAGGTTTTGTGGGGTGCCCTCGTCTCAAACCCCTCCCAAGCGATGTGGAGAGACCTCAAGATTCTTGTGGGCCATGCCACGTCTAGAGATCTCCAGAAGATTGGCTCTGTGGCTCTGTGGCGTGTTCACGATTATTTTTACAATTCTTGCAATTTGTAGCACCTAAAACTATCAAAAGCTCAGAGCTCTTTGTGTTTTACCCTCGAGCCTTCATGTTATTATGCTTGAAACCAATTCCACCATCGCTTTCATCCTGATGGAAACCACGGATAAACTTTTTCCCCAATAGACCTCAAAAAGCAACATTACGGTCAGTGTCCAGGAATGCTGCCCCCAGAGAATGAGAGAGAAGGCAGGCGAGGGTAACCTGAGTGTTCAGAAGCGGCGGTCGGAGCCCTGTGGCAGGCAGAATCACAGAAAACTACTCTCGGCAAGGACGAGGACTTCCCGGCCGCCAGAGTGGCAGGCGGTCTTCTTAGGATGATGGCAGCATCTCCTCTGTCCTGCTCTCCTGGAACTCTGCCATTTTTTCCCCTCCTTTCAACCTGATGAGGTCCTTATGACTCGATGAAGTGGTTCAGAAAGACACTGTGTGACCTCTGAGGCTAGGTCATGTCAGTGCCACCCACAGCTCCCCTGTGCTCTGAGGGTGTCACCCGGGGACCCAGACAGCGCATTCTGAAGAAGCCTAGCAGATGGGGCAGGCTGCCTGCTTTGTATCTATTAAATTCTCCACGCTGCTTCTCTACTGATCCATTGGCCTCTTTGTTTTCATCCTTACCTCTTCTGATCATCGCCGCTTTACGAGACATTTAATACCTGTTAAGGCAGGTTGCCGCTCAATCTGCTTCATCAAATTAGCTATCTCCAGCACTTCAATGTCCAAGTAAGCCATTAAAAACTGTTAAAATTAAGGACACAAAGTATCAATTAGGAAGAGTAAGTTCAAGGTTTCTATTGTTCATCATGGTGACTGAAGTTAATAACAGTGAATTACACACTTGAGATCCACCAAAAGCCTAGATTTCAAGCGTTCTCATCACAAGCATTATAAAGATGTCAGGGGATGCATATGCTAATAGATGCATTTAAACACTTCACACACACTATATAAACATCAGGCATACCATAAAGATATATAATTTTGTCAATTAAAGATCAGTTTACATTTAAATCCCTAAAAAATGAAAGACGCACACGAGTATGTGTAAATGTATATAGTGCTGATTTCCTAGGGTTTGTGTAACAAAGTCACTTACTTTTGTGGGGATAAAATCAATCCATAGCTCATGCATATACACATAATTTCTAGAAATTTGGATACATGATCAGTACTGAGAGTTTCATGTAGCTTTTTTCTGAATGAGAAAGTAGTTTTCCCACAACAATATATTAGTTCAATCACTCCTTTCCTTGTATATCAGGGTCTCCGTTCTATTCTGTATCAAGTGTGCATATTTATATACCTTCGATTTGAGCATTTCGTTATGATTTTTATATCTGTTTTATAATATATTCTATTAACTTTCAGGATTTTATTTTACTGACTCCTTATGACTTTTATTTTCCACACATTAGCTACTTGCACATTGTTCTGGCTAATTTTAGAACTATTTCCTTCAGCTCCATCAAAAGTTGGGGTTGTATTACATTGCACAAACTAAATGCATTCATCCAGGAAAGACACTAATTCTCACTTAACCTGTAAAGACTGCTGAGGCAGGTGGGGCTGGGCAGATGGGTCTGAGCTCCTCAGTGCCTCTGTTCCCTATCTCTCCGCAGATGCTGAGGCAGGGTAGGTGGCACCCTGGCCTCCCAGCTGGAGCTCACCGTTGGTCCCAGAATCCTGTAGAGGCCACACCCTCCTTCCCTCATCTGGAACATCTGCAACTTGCTTGAAATAAATGGATCTGGATGCCCAGTGGCTGAACCAGGCCCTGGACCTCTGCCTGCCTCATCTTCCTTCTGGAAAGCTCACTGGCAGACTCCGAGTGAAGCCCCTCCAAAGCAGTGCACAGTTAAGCTGCAATCACCAGCTCCGGACACCAGGAGATGCAGGAAGCTGGATGAACTCCCATTGCATCTTTTATTAACTATCTTTTATTTTTCATACTAGTGATCAAACCCAGAGCCTCCACCCTAGCCCTTTTCAGTTTTAGATAAGCTGTCACTAAACTCTGCCTTACCCAAGCTGAACTCAAACTTGTGATCCTCCTGTCTCAGCCTCCCACAGTGCCAGGACTTCAGGCAGCCTTTCTTAACCATTTCATGTCATGGGAGTGTTTGGTACAACTCTCAAGTACATCATTTTTCCACGCTGGCTTCCACTTAAAACAAAAAAAAAAAATTAACCGGTATCCTATTTGCCTCCAAACCATTTCTCTTTTCATTTAGAAATTAGTTTCCTTATCCCAGAAAAACATTATTCGGGCCTAATGAGTTGTGTATTTGCTTTTCCAAGCTCTGTTACAACTACCGTGACCAGGGAGTGAATGGACCTTGGCAATGGCCTGGCTGTGACGGCCCCTGACCTTCCCGCCTGCCCACCACCCTGGGCGACGACCAGCCAGCCCCACATAACACTCTCCCCACCTCTTGCTTCCTTCTTCCCCTTCTCTTTTGTTCTTTTGATTTAGGGTTCCGTGATGTTTAATGAACAATACACTTCCCGGCAGCTATAAAGTAAGAAAAATTCACTTAGGATTATAATCACAATTTCAATTATTTACACATGTTAGAAAATATTGCCACTGGGTTCTCCGAGTTATTTACTCTGGTGTTTTCTTCTCTGTAGAAGTACTAAAATATTAGCCCTATTCATTACAAACTGATTGTTTTTAACATGATTCTTCCCCCCACGCCCACACCCTGACTGAAATCCAATTTAGAGCCTGCTAAAGGCCTCATAAGTTTTTTATGGATTATTTCCCGGGGTCACATTAATCTGGCTCCTTGTTACTTTATACTAATTTCACTTCGCCACAGTAAAGTAACGAGATTCGATCTCATGGAAACTAATCCATAGAGACCTCCTAACGAGGCAAGACCAGAATACAGCTGACTACTGCGCTAATTCTCCCAAGCATGAGGGAGAGGAGCTTGGCCTGCCCTTCCACGCACTGGAACACTCAGCCCAGTCCTGAGGGACAGGGGACGGGGCCCAGGGTACAGAGGGGCATGGGGTGCACAGTGAGCCCGCCAAAACTCGGAATGCAGAGGTCTGCCCTCCTGAACCCACAGGCTGGTCCCAGAGAGGAGAGGGCACGAAAGATGCTCACACCAGAAGGAGGAAAGGAAAAAGTTTCCTTGGCTTTTCCTGAGTTTCCCAATTCTCTCCCCTCAGCCCACCTGATCCCTGAGCCCCCTCCCTGGCTAGGATTTCTGTTTTCAGTGAAATCTGTCAGGGAGGAGGTTTTCTCTCATGCAGGAGACTTAGAGTTCTTAGCATCTTCCTTCCCAAATGGCAGATGCAACCAACTCTCACAGAATTTTGCAGAAGTTAAGGTGAAAAACTTAGCATGTCTCGAGGGGAAAGTGAATAGTCTTCTCACATTGTAACCTGAGGATCAAAATAACATGTAATCAGCCTAGGGATATACTCAGTAGTGCACACCTGCCTAGTAAATGTGAGGTCATGAGTTCGATTCCCGGTACCCATCCTCTGCCAAAAAAAAAAAAAAATTTAACATGCACTTCTTATCATTATTATGGAGCATTGACCCAGAAAATAGAAAATGCACTTAAAAATAATGTATGTCCAGAGGCGACGGAGAGAACATGCATAACCCTGCCCACCACCAGGACCTGAATGGATGTCCTCAAGGGTGTGGTGATTACCAATGCTGTTCCAGTCTGCAAGCAGATTGGTGATACTCAGCAACAACTGGCTCCTGGAAGCACAGTGGAGCATAGCTTTCCTTTCCAGAAAGCTCCCTTCTGTGTGGTGTGTTACCATTACCAAGTGTTCACACCGGTCATGGAGGATGGGCGGGTAGCATCACCCTGCTTGGCAGATGAGGAGACTGAAGCTATAGAGGGGAAGCAGTGCTGGGGGTCGCTGCCCTGGGAGTAGAATCAGGCCCTCTCCTGCTCCAGGGAACGGGAGGCAGCTGCTTCCCTTCAAAGCGAGCACAGGCAGCTGGGTGTGAGCGCGGTGCTCACTCTGACTCTGCGATTTCCACGGGCTCTGCTCTTAGAGGAAATACAGCCCAATATTGCCTCTCCTGTCTGCCTCCTCTCCGTGTCATGGGGAGAGTGGATTCTAAATGGCCTGGTGGGGATTTTGGGAGGAGAAATTGAGCCTGCTTTCCTTGGATTCTCTCTACTTCCTCTCTTTCTATTTGCTTCCTTTATCCAATGACAGGGGCTCCCACCTGGGGAAGACCCCTGCATTGTCCCCTCAGCATCACAGGCTGACAGGCCAGTGGACGTGGGGAAAGCCGATCTCTTCAGGGGCAAAGTGCTAGCACCCTGCCTCAGCTGAAGAGTAGAGGCCCCGGGCTGCCACTTACTTTATCAGCCACAGAGCTGACCAATGTATGCATCTCCGTCTGACTTACTCATGGATCTGACACTGCCAGGAGCAGGACAAGAGAGGTGCATGATGTACAAACACCTCGCCAACCCAAACTCCCAGCCTATAAATTCCCTGTGCAAACCAAGCGTTATGGGGAACTGTGCTCAGTTGTGCAGATGGAGGAACTTACCAGTCACTAAGTCTTGATGGTGCCATGCCAACAGAGAACTCTGAAAGCCTAGGTATTGCCTCAAATGTGACCTCAGACAATAATTTTGCTTTACAGAGACATTAGGGGAGAATGTGGTCTCCTGGCCTTGGTGAAGACATGGTTAAATTGTGCATAGTAGATTTGATCATAGTGGAATTCCTCAGGACCTCAAGTCCTGATGGAAGCACAAGAAGTTAATTACCAACCCTAATATACCAAGAAATTAAAAAGAATCATGATGATGATGATGATGACGGTGGTGGTGGTGATGATAATGATGCTTCCAAACAGCAATCAAGGGCAGTTACAGCAGTGGAACCCATCAGCTTGTTTGCACCAGTAAATTCACTAAAACCCGCAGACGTGACTCAGCTCACTCAGCTGGAGCCTGAATTGTGAGTGTACAGTCGGTCAGGTCCCCGGAGGCTGAAGGTCCATCCATCAGCCCTTTCCAAAGACTTCCAGAGCGGATCCTTCATTTACCACTCTTTAATTTGTTGGATTCATGACTTGATATATTTCCATCTCCTCTTCATTTAGACCTAGCTGCCAGTATACTTTCAGAACCAAAATTAATTAAAAGAAATCAAGTTGGATGATTAGGCATTTCTCCCGAACCATGCTTTTGAGTATTAACATGATGGGAAGAAAAATCAGTAATAAATGTTTTTTTTTTCTACCATTGAATATTTAAAATTTAAGCAGAAAGTCTGTAGGAAGACTTGGGGGCTGTCTTTTGGCTGAAGGAGATCTCCATTTGCAGAGAGCAAGGGAGAGTGTGGGATTTTGGCATGACCAATTGTCCTATAAATCAATCCAAATTATAGTAGAAATTAAGCTTTCAGTGTGGAGCTCCTGAGACAGAGAACAAGCAATAGAAAGTCGACAGTGACGTGTGCCTACTCACAAAGGAAGAAATATAAACAGGATATGCTTGGGGAAAATTCAGCCTCACTAGTAGTCAAAGAAACAAACATCAAAACAAGTTTTCACTTCATTTTCTGATCAAGTTATTACTGATCTTTAAGAATCTATAACCTATAAGAGCAAAAAGGAGCACGGCAGGGTCCGAGGGAGACCTGGGATCCAGGCCAGGTGCTCAGGCCCCTCGGCTGAGGTCACCGGAGATGAGGGCTCGGAGGGGTGGACCGGACCCAAGCGCAGCCGGAGGAGCAGCAGGTGCTGGCAGGGCCCGAGGCGGCACCAGACGCAGAGCTCGGAGCCAACAGCTGGAGGAAAGACAGGCTGGGGATAAGCAGGCCTCAAATGTCAGCAGGCAGAGCTCACAGGCAAAATGGAGTAACCAGGACCAGATTTAAGCTCTCCTCTGAAACAATTAAAACACTGCACAGAGTATCATGAGGCAAGTTTTCAGAAACTGGTCAGCTGGCATCGCACAACAGTCCATGTCGAGAGAAGGGAGATAAACAAGAGACCCTCCGGCGTAATAACCAGAGAGCATGTTCCCAGACCCCAGGCCAGGATGCAGCCGCCCAAACAAAACGTCACTGTGTCCCCAGGTGGACAGGATGAAGCACTACAGTGAGGGTCCAGGGACAGAGCAATGGAGTGCCAGAGAGGACACAGCTGCGCAGGGAGGGTCTGGGTTCCTGCGGGAAAATCTTCAGGAGTCTTCAGCAGCTATCAGTGATCACAGCCATGTGAGAAAGTGAAAGGCTGACGGACAGAGCACCAGAGAAGGGGCTGAGATGGAACAGTCTCAGGGCAGACTCAGGAGGAGGCCTTGCCATCAGGCATATGAGTCTGCAGACGCGCACGGCCTTGGGAGCTGGGGCAAATTAACACAGAGTGAAGGTGGCCCTTGGTTCTCCTGCACACAGCTCCCAGCAATAATGGTATCCTCAAAAAACAGGCTCAGGATTTCTTAAAAGAATAAAAGAATGCTAGTAACTAACAATAAGAAATTGACAAAATCACTGGGTGTGATGGTACACACCTGTCATCCCAGCACTTGGCAGACTGAGCCAGGAGGATCACTGTGAGTTCAAGGCCAACCCAAACTGCATAGATCCTGTCTCAGAAAGAAAGAAAAGAAAGAAGAACGAAAGAAAGAAAGAAAGAAAGAGAGAGAGAGAGAGAGAGAGAGAGAGAGAGAGAGAGAGAGAAATTAAATTAGCAATATCTACATCAAATCAAATGGCTTCAAGCATGTAAAAAATCAGGAAACAATTATCCACAAGGAGAAATGCCAGTCAACAGAAAGATCCCCAAAAGGGACTCAAATGACAAAATTGAGTAGAAAAGGATGTGAATCGGCTACAATAAATATGTTTAAGCGATCAGAAGACCAATTTTTGAGAGGACGAATGCCCTGGCTAGGATGACAACCAGCTGAGCACGGCAGACCAAGTGGATACGAGACCACACAACAGGGACACAGAGGACACACAGATCCTGGCAGCGCGATGTCCTGACCAAGGGAGCCACGGTCCGAGGCGGTGCCCAGAAAGCTAACAGCTGTCCCTGGAGCCAATCAGAGGGCGGGCGCAGTGAAAGCACTTCAGAGAACGCAAAGTGAAGGTTTGCTAAGTTTGGGAAAAGTTATATGACCTCTAAGCAAAGAAAACACAAAGAAACTCACATCAAAGCAAATGATAATTAAATCTCTGGGGGAAAAGAACAGACAAGAAGAAACGTAAGATTCCATAATGAGGAAGAAAGCGAAGGTTCTGAACTTCTGATCAGGGACAGTGCCATCCAGAAGACATACAGTTACACCTCTAAAGCTGAGGTGTCTATGACAATGAAACTACCTTTCAAAGTGAACAGTGAGATAAAGACTTGAGGGGTGCTGCTGGGCATGGTGGCACACACCTGTAACCCCAGCACTCGAGAGGCTGAGGCAGGAGGATTGCCA